CGTTCCAGTTGTACCAACTTATTTCTTTGTAAAATAAAATAAACTACTTTGAAATTAAAATGACAGACACATCTATCACTGTCAAGGATCTTCTCGTTGGACAGACTATAGTTTTATTAGTTTGAAATAATAAACTTAGAATATTTTTGTGCCAAAGATTCAACAGAACTGTTTTATCGTATTTTTTTTCTAGAAAAATTCATGATTAGCTTAAAGAAAATAAAAATTTCACAAATTTATCATTTCAGTCAAATAACTATCAACAGTCAACATGCTTATTTTTTGTTAATACTGACATGTATTGACCATTTCAAATATTTTGAAAACGGTTGCTCGTAGCGTTTTTTACCAAGAGACATTTTTTACGCAGAAAATTAGAGAAATGTATATTTTTTCAACCAATAGTTTTATACAGGTACGGACGAAAAGTTATTGTATTTTGAATAATTTAAAAAAGATGTAGCACCCCCCCAAGTAGGAGACAATTAACATCGAAATCAAACTTCTCATGTCAAAAATACCCAGACACCAATTTTCATCCAAATATGAACTTAGTTCAGAAATTATTTCGATAAAAAACGAAATAAAAATGAAACTTCTACACCCTGTATCTCCGAAACGAAACATTTTAGGACATAAATTTATAAGACTTTTTTTACTTATTTTTATCTGTAGAATATGCTGCCGAAGATTCCGAAGACAATTGGGACCATCCAGTATATTTTAAATCCAAGTTTCAAACTTATTGAGTAAAAAGCCATCAAATGTCGATGTTTGGTGCGATTTTGTAGTCACCCGGTATACAGGGTCCGGTAATAGTGCGTCGGGCATCTGTAGCTCCTAGAATAAAAAACTTGAGAATTTTGTTTAAGTGCAGACCTAAAGTATGTACAATGATGTATTTCAGGAAAATATTTTGACTTCTATAGGGTGGCTCAAAAAATTGTTAGTGGATTGAGATGATTTTTTATAAATGAAACACCCTGTATATTATTGCATTTTTGGCTTCCTTTCACGTCACTTTACATAATCCTAAGATATAAGTTAATATATTTCGATAATTTTAGAGATATTAATTATTTAGAGATATTAATATTAATTATTTGATAAAAAATATGAAAAATATATATTTTTCAACCTCCTGCGCCAAACTTTCTAAAATAAAAAATAATTTTTCTTTGTTTTTTTTTAATGGACCTCCCTGTATATTTTTTTTAATAATGGAGAGTTAAAAAATGAACATTTTTTTGTGTTTAAAGTATTTCAAAATTTTTAATGGTTTCACAGATTCAAGCAGTATTATTTCATATGGCTCTTTCAACAGTAAAATACAAGAGAACATTCATTGGGTGGCTTTGATAAAAATTTACTGTGGAAAATGCCATATGAAATATAAAACCGCGAATATCTGCGAAATCGTTAAAAATTTTGAAATACTCTGAATACAAAAAAAGGTTATTTTTTAATTATCTATTGAAAAAAATAATATACAGGGTGTTCCGAGTATAACGAAGAAGCATTATATTAGAAAGTTTACATTTGAGGGTTGGAACCTTTGGTGTTACACAGCAAAATAAAAACACTAAATCACCACAATACACCAAAACACTTTTACTTTTACACTGGACGCGCGTTTCGCTAACCATGTTAGCATCATCAGCAGATGATTATAAACTAAAGTACAATCTACAAGTTGAGCGTTTATATACTCGCTCAGTGGGCACCGAGTGGGCGTGGCAAAATCTAGCCAACCGAGTCAGAGCCAACTGAGCGTAACAGTTAGATTTCCGCCACTAGAGTAGTAGGAACAAAGAACTTGAAGGAATTGGACCGTTGACTTTGTTCATACTATCTTTACATTTATTAATTCTGATGCTCTCATATGCATCTAATTGCCTGTAATTTGAGACAATTTTAAATTATTAAGATCTATACAATGTTCATTATCAACAATATGTTCGGCAACGCAAGATTTATCCGGTTTACCATATCTTATCTGAGCTAAATGTTCTTTAAATCTAGTTAATATTGATCTTCTAGTTTGCCCAACATATATATGATTACAATCTTTACACGAAATTTCATAAATACCCGACCTTTCCAGTGGAGGTGTTTTATCTTTTGGATTACCTAATAATTGTTGTAATTTATTATTAGCACTATACACAAGTTTATAATTGACATTCTTAAAAATTCCTTTTAGACCACGGGATAACTCTCTATCAAACGGCATCGAAAAATATTTAGACGTATCTTTCTCCACTTGAAAAGTCGAATTTTCAGAAATCATTAACCTATACCTACGTTTTCTAATTAATTTATCAACTAGTGAAGGAGAATATCCATTACACTCAGCTACATTCCTAATGTAATCTCTTTCTATTTCATATCTTTCGTTGGAAAGTGGGAAACTAAGTAATCTATGAACTAAGAAATTTAAACTAGCCATATTATGTTCAACACTATGATGTGATTCATTAGGAATATATCTGCGTGTGGTCGTATTTTTCCTATAGATATCAAATTCCTAATACATCTAGAAATGGTGATCTGTCGTTGTTCCCAATTTCATGCGTAAATTTAATGGAAGGAAAACGATTATTTAACTTAGAAATAAAATTATCTATGGTGTCTGAATGTGTGTCAAAAACAGCAAAAATATCATCCACATACCTAAACCATACTCTTGGAAAATACTCAAACTGATTCTTAGCCTCCACGCCAAACCTGCTCATGAATAAATTAGCCAAAAATGGAGACAATGGATTACCCATTGCTGTACCTTCCCGCTGTTCAAAAAAGTTGTTATTAAATTGAAAACAATTTTGTTTCATACATAACGATGTAAGCTCAATATATTCACTCACAGTTTTATTGTCGAGACCATTTGCGTTCAGTAATTCCTTTAAGTTTATAATCATCTGCTGATGATGCTAACATGGTTAGCGAAACGCGCGTCCAGTGTAAAAGTAAAAGTGTTTTGGTGTATTGTGGCGATTTAGTGTTTTTTTTTATTTTGATTAGAAAGTTTGCCGAAGGATTTTCATTATCCTGTATGATTTACGATTACCATTTTATTTATAGCAATGTAAGTACAGACCATCTAAAGTAAATACCTAATATAGTTTTGATTTCAGAACAGTTCTTGTATTTTTAATATTTTTTTTAGGAAAGGCTGAAAAATATAGATAAATAAATTAATATAATTTTTTTAAATATTTATTAATATCTCTGAAACTATCGAAATATATTTACTCATATTTTAGAATTATGTAAAGTAATCTGAACCCCAGGATGATATCAGGTGAAACACTTACAAAAAACTCTATTTAACAGTTATTTCTTAATTACTTTGTAATCTTGTTACACCCTGTATATTTTATTTTAAAAAACACTATTTTATTAAAAAATAAATAAAATAGATGTTTAATTTTAATTTATATATAGTAAGGATCTAAGACAATATTTTACACTTTTATTAAAACTAATAAATCATTTAATTTTATTAGAAGTTATAAGAAATTTAAAAAAGGCTTTTGCATATCATCATGTGGATGTTTTTGTCTTGAGGAAAATTGCCGAACTGACTATTGGTGTCATTCATTGATTTTTTGAACTCAGTGCCTTTCGATAGAGTTTCAGAGTTTTCAACAATTATTACAGCAGCATCCCTACTTCCACTAGACCTAAACCTCACAGTACTTACAAAAACCAATCTTCTTTTGAAAGGTCCTGTATTAACCCTTTAACGAGTCTTTGTTTCGTGTTTATACTAGCCGATTGAAATTAAACTTTTAAGCGTCCATCAGTTCAGCTTGAATTCCCTGTAACTAATGAAATGCCTTCTATCCACGATTTATTCTATTTGCGAAAATTGTTTAAGGAAAAGCAACTTTTTTTCTATTTTCGATATAAAACAATGGAAAATGATTGCAAATGGGTCTCAACACCTTTCGTTTTATTGTAACTAAGAAAGTTGGGATCCAAAAATTGCATCACGACATCCCACAAAACGGTCAAACTGGTCTTAGATGTTGATTTTAAAACGCCTTTTTTTCTTAAGGGCTTCAAAAAATTCTTGGCAGCTGACTTCAACCTAACCTAACCGGTGAATCGGTGAGAGACTCCTAAAAATTATGTTTTTTTTTTCAACAATTTGGCAACGCCCTGTACAAATAAATATGGGCATGGAAACTACAAATATTCTAGCATCAAAATTGCTTACTACTTTTTGGTAACTATTGGTAACTCAAAAGATCTACATCATTCAATATATCGATATTTGTTAAAAAAATGTTTTGGAAAAATTCAACCGGGGGGGCTAGCGTTGCATTAGCCCCCCCTCCCCCGTTAAAAATGTCCTGTAATTCACTAAGGGTTGTGGTGCTAGCTCTGTAAGTTGGGTGCTAGGTGGGTGCAATACAGTGCTAAAATATTAAAGAGTTTGGACAACGGGGGGGGGGCTACTGTAACGGACCCCCCAAAATGCCATAATATACAGCCATTTAAAAAAGATTATTATCCCGATCCTCTCACACTTTTTTGAGCCACACTGTAGAAGTTAAAATGTTTTTCTAAAATACATCCTAGTACAGTGCGTCTGTCCGTTCTGTAGCTACGGGGTATCCGTGAGAGGGGAAACGATATTCTCTCGATGTTTTTCGTAAAAAATTAGAGGACGCGTCCCATCAATAAAAATTCGACAAATGTGCAAGTAGCCAATAAAATGAGTGGGCGGAGCGATTTGCGGTGTCGTACTCGTCAAGTCGACGTATAAAATATATTGCTGTTTATTTAAATGTTTTTTGTCCGCGTTCCTTTCATAGACACAGATCCAGCAGACGCACTTTACATACTTGGGTTTGCACTTAAACAAAATTCTCAAGTTTTTTATTCTATGAGCTACAGATGCCCGACGCACTGTTGCCGGACCCTGTATTTTTACGTCTTCTTTAATCCTTTTTTGTAAAAAAATATAATGAACTATTTTATTTATTTAGGTCGATGAGGATCGGAAACATGAGATTGAAGCTGCAATTGTTCGCATTATGAAGTCACGGAAGCGCATGGCTCATAACATTTTAGTGACGGAAGTCACTGAACAATTACGCAGCCGCTTTTTGCCATCTCCAGTGATCATAAAGAAGCGTATTGAAGGACTGATCGAGCGTGAATACCTAGCTCGCACGCCAGAAGATCGTAAAGTATACACCTATGTTGCTTGAGGTGACTAAAAATATTTGCAAGACTTCGATCGTGCAATTGTGGTTTTTTACAGTGCGCCTTTTTATGAATAGTGTGTATGGTTAATACAATCTGGAACTCTTCTGAACAAAAAAATGTAAATTTAGTAATTAACAAACTGTACAAATTCACCACAATTTGCGTTCAAGGAACCAATAATGATATATTGCCTTAATTGTTTCAATTACTTTAAACACGTTTTTTGATTTATCTTTCCGACTTTTATTTATTTTCTTGCAGTTGTAAAATACAATGTAGACTCTCAAATCAAAACATGACCATTATAAGTTTGGAGAAGTTGTTTTAATACCATTTAATATATCTCTCTCTTATCACCTCTTATACCGGGTGCGTCTCAAAAGTGGCTCCGTGAAAACCGGATGTTTTTTCAAAAGTGGCTCACCCCTATAACTTGTTTATTTTTTTCAGTTAAACGCTAGTTCAGAGCTAATACAAATAGGGACCATAAAAGTGATTTGACGCGATTGTCTGATAACATTTCTGAAGAAATTGATGGGCAACAGCCCAGCTACGTCGAAACACCGGTTCCTGTTAGAACACCGAAGTTAAGCGACGTAAGGCGATACTAGTGGATAGACGGGTGACCGGTTCGAAACTCTGTATCGTGCTGTTGTCCAATAAAGGCAAAAGTGTAAAATCTATTGACACACGTTGCTCATTCACGCCGATTCGAGGCCGGATGAGATCGGATATCTCGTGAGTAAGAGTTGATTTAGACACTTGCCAAGTCGGTAGGCCATTGACCATGATATGGCCGAGGACCGCGGTTCGGATTCGGCCCCGTCCAGATTAGCCCTGGCAGCAAAAACGAGACGTTAACTGAAATCTTTACTTTACTTTCAGTTAAAAAACGAGATTTGGTATATTAGTATCTGATATAAATTAGGATTGATTGGCGTATTCAATTGTTTTTGGTCACTTCCTGTTTCACCGGAAATGACTACAACTTTTGATTTTTAAATGGCACCCTCGGTATTTTTTTACTTTATTCGAAAGAAAATGACACTCTGAAAAGAATGACATATCATATGTCAACCTTTGACATTTTCGCTTAATAGAAAATCATATTTTAAAATTCAATTCTATGTTAAAAACTAGAGATGAGCAAAACTGCGATTGTGATTTATAAATCGCTGCGACTGTAACCAGCGATTGCGATTTTAATATTTTTAAATTGGTAAGCTGTAAACTGGAGAAGCTCAATCTCAAAATGTTCAATAAAAAACAGAATAAATAGCGGAGTCATTTTTTATATAAAAACTTACAAAGAAACTGTTGGGTGTTTCAATGCCATGTGCCTTTTAAAATTTGTAGTGCTTGTTTTTTATGATATTTTTGCTGCACACATATAGCACTTAAAATTTTCATCAATTACCAAAAAAAAACTCCACAAATAACTTAGTTTCCTTTTTTTAAACATTTTTGATTAGAACAGACCGAATAAATTTAAAAGGGAAATTAAAAATACATAAAATGTTCAAAATATTCCAATGTGCTTTTAGACAGTCTGTAGGTATACTAACGAAAAATTTATTATAAAAAAGGTTGCCGCCAACTTTAATTCCAATAACTCGAAAAAAAACTGTTTATTTTATCTTTTTTTTAAAAACATTTTCTTTATATGTAACTCAAAACGAGCATTTGTTTTGAGTATATGTAACTCTTTTGAGTTACATATACTCAAAAGAAGCCGACGCCGATGGCTGTAATACGACCAGTCCAGTGCAAGTGCAAACTTTCGAACTTTTAGATAAATAAAAGGACAATATCACATTTTATTATATTTGAAATGTCTCTAAAATGAAAAACTGATTGTAAAGGATGTATTTAAATTAACATAGCAGCCGATCCACAACTGTTAGTTAATATTCAGAAAATTATATTATATTATGGATTGTTATAAAAATGTTTATAATAATATAATATAATATAACAAAATATAATAAATAAAAAGGGCTGAAAAAAGTATCCATATTAATAGAGTTTCTTTTCCGTACTCTATGTCTTCTAGTAAATAAAGGATAAAAGTAGATAATTTTTTTATAATTTGAATCCAAAAAACTGTCCTTATGAATCATTTGTAAACAATCTGAATTATACCTGGGAGCAACTGTAACTATAATTAGTCATAACCGAAAACAAGCATTTTTTAACCTTTTCAATCCATAATTATATTATAAATCTAAAACTATTACCAAAATTTAAAACTAATAAATTATATATATTATGCTACATATAAACATAAGCCTATTTTCCACCGCTTCATAAAAATTAATGGGCCCTGATTGCGAATGTGATTTTGCGATCTAGTCTAGGCCGATGTGTTTCGTTCGCCGCTCTTCGTTGGCGTACCCGCTCCCGATGCCGCGCCGGCCGGTGCCAACGAAAATCGCATTCTCGATGCCGCGATGAGCTGCGATTTTCGTTCAGCTCCTCGTTCGCCTGCCCAATGCCATGTTGATGACGCGCCGCCGTCGGCCGGTGCGAACGAGAATCGCATTGCGATTTTCCTTCCCAGCTCTTCGTTCGCCTGCTCATTGCCGTGTCGATGCAACGGCGCCCCGCACAGTGGTCTAAATGTAAAAATTACGGGGACATTAGGTGACAAGTTTGTCTTCACTGAAGATTGATAGTATGTATAATTTTATAAATAGAATAAAGTCCCATCTTACTTGTATATCAGAGTTTTGTATTTGGTGGATCGGAATGCGATAAAATTGAGGACAAAGTAAACAAAAATATAAATGTTCATTTATATAGAATTTGTTCTCGAGTATCTTGAAGTTCTTTTTACTACTTGTGTTGAGATTAGAATATCGTGGTTTGTTTTTTAATTCAGACATATCTGCTCATTTGTTAGGTAAGTTTAGTTACTTATTTCGAAACACGAATATTGATATAATTGATGTCAAAGAAGTATTTACAATTTTATTAAAGTTTAAAGAATGGAAGGCTCAGAAAAAAAAACGACCCTTTTCTTCACTGTCAAACCAAATTTATTTTAAAGCTAGTATATCTGCCTATCGTGTAACAATATACTGAGCTGCTGATAGGTGCAGTCTTGTGAAATTTTTATTTTTTTCCTATTTTGTACAGTTTCGGGCGTGAGTCGAAAACACTTATTTGAGCTTTTGAATGAAAATGGCTGGATGGGAAATGCCACTTCTTTAGTTGTGAGAAAAAAGATGGCCGACTTTGTCATACAACGCTTCCCCACTGCTGACTATGATGACCTAACCAACAAAATATCATGGTTTTCAACTCAAATTGCTTTACGTTGGAAAAGGTGCTACCGAAATAAGAAAGACTTTTTAAAGAAACATATGTAATTTGGCTTAACGAATATGTTTATAAATCTAAGTGCCAAAGCACCTTTCAGCAACATGCAAAAACGCATTCGCGAAAGAACTCAAGACAATTTAGTGCTGTTAGTACTAGAACTAAGAGAAAACGTACACAAGAATTGGTTTCTTAATATGTCCTGCTGAACTTGCGTTTGCTACTCAGACTGGATACACACGAAAAGGAAAGAGAAATGTTGCTTTTGCCATCAAAAAAGCTACGATTTCTAGTCCAGAAGAGTTGGCAAAAATAAAAAATTTACTGTATGTCTGTCCGTTCTGTAGCTACGGGTATCCGTGAGAGGGGAAACGATATTCTCTCGATGTTTTCGTAAAAAATTAGACGACGCGTCCCATCAGTAAAAATTCGACAAATTTGCAAGTAGCCAATAAAATAAGGGGGCGGAGCGATTTGCGGTGACGTACTCGTCAAGTCGACGTATAAAATATATTGTTGTTTATTTAAATGTTTTTTGTCCGCATTCCTTTCATAGACACAGATCCAGCAGACGTACTGTAGAAAGGTTAAACAACGAGATGCGATCATTTTCTCCAGAGGAAGCCTTGATAAACATAACATTTTGTAGATCAGTAAATACATTCAGTTAAAATACCCAAGTAACACAATATCATTGTCAACATTGTTTTAAGTTGTAATATTCACTTGTAAATTCAATAAATAAAATGACAAAATACCATCTTGTTAATATCCTGACGCAATAAAACAAAATAATATTAAGTACAGTTCGTCTGCTGGATCTGTGTCTATGAAAGGAATGCGGACAAAAAACATGTAAACAAACAGCAATATATTTTATACGTCGACTTGACGAGTACGTCACCGCAAATCGCTCCGCCCACTCATTTTATTGGCTACTTGCAAATTTGTCGAATTTTTATTGATGGGATGCGTCGTCTAATTTTTTACGAAAAACATCGAGAGAATATCGTTTCCCCTCTCACGGATACCCCGTAGCCACAGAACGGATAGACGCAGACGCACGGTGGTCTAAATGGAAAAATTACGGGGACACTCAATTTTGTTTTTCAAATAAAGGAAGTAATTGTTATTTATAATGTTTTTATGTAAAATTACACTCATCAAAAATATTTTTTACATTTTTACCTTCCTATTTTATATACAGCGTGTTCAATTAGTGCGATAAAGTCCAGTATCTCGTTTGCTATTAAGAATTTTAAAATAATGCTAATACAAAAGTTATAAGTAATAATAAATTGCTTCTTGTTAAAATATTTTTAATTATAAGGGGTGTGTCAGAAAAGTGCTACAGACCAAACTTTTTAAATAAAACACCTATATATTTTTTAAGATTTCAATTCCTGGTACTTTTTCCAGCATTTTGATATAGGGGTGAATGGTTTATACTGTGTGTATCAAAAGTTACAGCCATTTTTATTTTTGACGCTCTATACAATTTACAGTACAGTACGTCTCACATAGGTCATTTTATGTATTTTAGGAATTAATAAATAAAAAAATTGAATGTCGAAAAAAATATTTTTTTATATTTCATCTTGGAGCTAGGGCCCATAGATATTATTTCTGCAATATTATATTTAATATTAACAGAGGTGGCCATGGCGAGAATGACAATATCAAAGTTTGTTTGAATTATTTCGCATTGTAAAATTACTGTCATTAGATCATAAAGTTTCGAATTTTGTTGTTACAAATAGAAAGTGAGTTTAAAAAGTAGTGTTGTGTTATTGTGTACTATAAGGTAAGATTTATTATTAAAAAAAATAATATGCGTGTAAAAAGCTTGTGACTTGGCGAAAACATACATTGTTTTAATAATAAGAAAAAAATAGTTTTTTTTTCATAACCTTGTATTTAAAAAGGTTTATAATTCAGGATTTATACAGATTTATTTCAAGAACATTTTTTTTCGTATTCACAATCTTTTTATCGATTAATCTATCCTAAATTTAGCTGCCAAGATGTGCCAAGAGAATAAATATATATTGTTTGAGGTACCATGTCAATAGAAAATCTCTTTTGTTTTCTGCTTGGTGTGAAGGCAATTCTTTGAAGGAAAAAGATGCATCTGTTTTGCGATTTGTTCTGAATACGCTAAATTTAGGGCAACATGATGGCGACGAACATTATGATGAAATAGTGAAAATTATTAAAAAAATTAAATTATTATTATTATTACTCTTTGTCTAAATGTGTGGGAGCACGGTCAAATAAGGAACCACTTATCAAAGAGGTTCTTAATTTACTTCGAGGGTGTACTTTACAGGCATCAGAGTTAGGACAAAATGATGAAAATATTAGTCAGGATGATGATGATCATTATTGATAATTGAATATTATTGTTACATAAATTTCTCTAGTAAAATAGTTTTATTATCATTTTATTTATATATTTGTTAAATGTTTTAGGTTGTTTTTTTTTCATTGTTCAAGCTAATTTTTACTTTCAGTTACTAATACAGTACATCTTCTGTAAACCTTCTAAATACTAATAAATTCACTTGCAAAAAAGTAAGGAACTACAGTTTTTGTTTGAATTCGATATAATAAAATGAAAAAAAAATAATATATTTCGTATAAGCATAAAGGGAAACAAAATGTCATTATTCCACGCATTTATTTATTTTCTTACCAAACAAATTATTTTTGTTTTAAAAAATAATTTAAATTTTAAAGGCATTATTTATTACCGCCTAAATTGGCGAAAATGACCTATGTGCGTCGCGGAGATATAGGGAGTGTTGCGTCGAACACACAGTTTCTCTTTTCGATTTTATATTTTGAATATTATTTATTTTAGTTCTATTACAAATCGTCCTTATTCTAATAGAAATATGATATATATGTTGGAGGCAGATGCCGAAAATTAGACATATGGCGATTATAATTAAATATACCTACCTATATCCACAAAGTTACGCGGAAGTGTTTTGATTGCATTGGTTTCAACTTCTATGCGGAGGGTGTTAATCTTTTGTTGTTATATTACACCAAAAAAAGATTAACCCCCTGGCAAGTTTAGTATGGACAAATCACCATATGTCTAATTATTTTGGACATTGGCCGAAATTCGGCATCTGCCTCCAACATATACAGGGTGTTTCAAAACAAATGCGAAAAACTTTAGGGGGTGATTCCTTGTTCAAAATAAAGGGTAGTTTGCTTTATAAACGTTGGGTCATAAGTCAACCATTAGGGAGATATCGCGGTACAAAGATGGCGGAAAAATAATGTTTTTATTTTTTATCTTGAAAACGAAAAGAGATAGACTAATGAAATTTTATGGAAGCATTACTGTTATGAAAACACACTTTCAGGTATTTTTTTTACTTTTTTAAAATGAGTGGAAGGGGTTGAAATAAACTACCCCTATCATTCTTGTTAACGAAATTTAAAGAAAAATCTTATCAAACACATGCAAATGGTTTAATTTGGATAGTTTAGTTTGTTTAGAAACTTTTTTACCTCTTGTGTTTTTTTGATAAAACTCACCGATTGGAAATTAAAAAATAAAATGTAAAGCATTACATGTCAGGACAAAAAACATTTTTAGATTAAGAATCTAGTGGACTGCTGTAATTTAATATAATAAAATAAATATACCACTATTTTGCACAATTTTGCACACCATAAATGATATTTTGCAGACTTACCTAAGAGAAGCCACTGAAGCCAGGGCCGTTTTTTAAACGGGGGGCAAACTTGACCGTTCCCCCCCATTTGTTACGAAATTGATTTATTTCTATGTAGATCGATTCGGCTAATTTTGCACAATTTTGCACACCTGTTTTTGAATTTTGCACACCCTTCTGACGAAAGTTATAAGCGGTTGAAAATTTGAAATCCCCCATCTGTAACTAAATTGAATTTTGTGTATATCAAACGAATCGGCTAATTTTGCACAGCTATTTTCGAATATTGCACACTCTCCTTACAAAAGTTATAAGAGTTTGAATATTTGAAATTTGTCCCATTGTGTGTGAAATGTCCCATTCAAAAATACATAAGTATCAATCCTATTTCGAAAATGATAGATCTCAGCGACGTGAAAAACTGCACGGAACTTAGATTTTAAGTTAGAAGATCACCTTTTCGATAATTTATAGCTTGCATAGAAGAACATTTATGAAACTAAAGATTCTACACACAGATTTATCCTAGCCCTCTTACTTCCTGAAATAACTGGCAGATTTGAAAATTTTGCATTTTTCGACAACCCTCATATATCGGTTATCCTATAACTTATCGAAAAGGTGAAGTCTGGGTTAGAAGTGTCTAGTCCTAGCCGTCAACTATTAAGCTTGACCAATCAGGTTGGTTAGCGTGGTTATTTGGAGTGTGTTAATTCATTTGTGTTTGTCAAAAACTCTAACGTGATTGGTCGGGCTTAACAGTTGCCTGCTAGGGCTAGACACAAGTGTCTAGGTTCCATACAGTTTTCCACGTCGCTGAGATATATCATTTTCAAATATGACTCATACTTATGTTTTTTAAATGGGACAATTCACACACAATGGGACAAATTTCAAATATTCAAACCCTTATAACTTTTGTCAGGAGAGTGTGCAAAATTCGAAAGTAGCTGGGAAAAATTGTGCAAAATTAGCCGATTCGTTTGATATAAACAAAAGTCAATTTCGTAGCAAATGGGAGGCAAATTGCAAATTTTCAAACCCTCATAACTTTCGTCAGGAAGGTGTGCAAAATTCTAAAATAGGTGTGCAAAATTAGCCGATTTATAAAATTAAACGAAAATAATAATAAATTTGAATAAACAATATTTGGGCGATATAATTCCGGAAAAAGCCGAACCGCTCCGAAATTTTCAAAAGTTTTGGGTCGCGACCGTTGCAAGAATAGCGCCAAATAGTGTTTACATTGTCCTTATGGGCACTTTCCAATCTAAACTTGTTTCATTTATCTATGACACAATTCAATTTTGTGGCAGATGGGGGGGAAATTTCAAATTTTCAACCCCTTATAACTTTCGTCAGGAGGGTGTGCAAAATTTAAAAATAGGTGTGCAAAATTAGCCAAATCGATGTACATAGAAATAAATCAATTTCGTCACAAATGGGGGGGGGGGACAGTCAAGTTTGCCCCCCGTTTAAAAAACGGCTCTAGTTTCTCTTATAAATAAATAAATGCCTTTATTGTCAAAAAAAATTTCAATTTGTAGACAAAGGTAAACTAACAAAGTAGAAAAAAAACAAGGAAAAATAAGTGTGCAAAATATAATTTATGGTGTGCAAAATGGTATATATATAGTGGTATATCTCTTTTTGAATTTCCTCTAGTACGGGGGGGCAAACTAGACCGACCTCGTTTTTTTTGTATGGGATGTATTGCTTAATAAAATTTTAACCATCCAGTATACATATATTATTGATATTAATATCACATTAAGTTTGATGCTTAAGACAAACTCTTCATGAACATAAAATATATATCTATTTTAATTTAAAAGATTTAAATTAAATTTAGAAATATATGAGTTTATAAATTGACTAATTAACTAGATAAATAATTATATTAACTACAATTTCTATATTTTATTCTATATTTCGCAATTATGATAACGATGGGGATAAATTTTGATGTAATACGTTATTGCTATATTTAGGTTTATCTATATTATCTGCATTTTGTAATTTTTCATCAGCCAGCAGTCGTTCTTTCCGCTGCTCTTCTATAGACTCTACAACATTATTTATTAAACTTATATCATATAAAGATTTTATTCAAAACGTATTTGATTTTATTAATACTCACTGTTATAGGGTGTATATTTGTCTGATAAAATATTTTCTAAATTATATCCTATGAATCCTATAATTCCAGCGAATGGTAAAGTTATATAGGGTACATATCTGTAAGATCCCCGCACTAATGTGTAAAGTATAGGCCACATTGCTTTAATACCAGAACTTGTTTGTTGATAATTTTAATATAAATCTTTCGGTCCATCCATCAATCAAGCGAAAAAGATAATATTTTCGTAGCGGTAGGTTAGGTCATTTTTCATAATTTTTTTTTCGCTTATGGAGTTCAGTGTTGCCAACTGTTCAGCGCATATCCTGCTGCGCTCCCTGCTCGTCAAGAAATAGTTACAGGTGATAATCGATACTGTGATCGATACCGTGATACATGCCGTGATACCGTGTCGATACGAAACAAATAGGCGCTGTGCCGCCGCTCCGGCCTCTATTTACCAAGTATTTACCCACGGCACCCCACGGCACGGCGCGGCGGCACAGCGCCTATTTGTTTCGTATCGACACGGTATCACGGCATGTATCACGGTATCGATTATCACCTGTAACTATCCTGTAACTATTTCTTGACGACGAGGATAGACAATGGCGCCCATCTAGATTAGGAGTGTAAGGAATCTCTACACTCCATCATTAGTAATGCACGAACGTACTAATTACACGCATTTTCCTTAAGCACAGATGCGCACTAGTCCAACGAATAAAGAATAAAACTAGTTGAAGCTCAATCTCTCTATCTCTATATCTCTGAAAAAAAAACCTACGACAAGCTATTTTTTTATGGATCTCAGTGGTGTCTTACTTGGTGATGTCTTCTTTTTATTCTTCATCTAAGGTATCACCACAGATAACATTATTATTATGTTATCTGTGGTATCATAGTACTTGTTTATGCTGTGATGATGCTGTGGTTTAATGTCAGATGAAGGTAAACACTTATGGTAAACACTCGTGAACACTTTCGATCTCTTTCGATCTATTTATTTTATGCGTAAAACACTCGTAAAAATAACAACTCGTAATCAAAACTAAATAAACCAGAGAAATCATCCACATTTCTGTGAAAAAAGTTTTGTTCGGGCAAGATCTTAATACATATATTTTTTATAAGATGCTTATGAAATTAACGATATATGTGTATTAATTATATCAGTAAAGTGCATTCAGGAAAACACCTCCAATTATTTTAGAATGCAAAGTCCAGAAGTTTGGAATTTTAAGGAACCCTCAACATTTCTTCAAATTAAAGAATTCAATAAGTTTCCTAAAACTTTATTAGAAGAATTCTTTTGTAACCATCTTGTACTGAATTCCATACGTGCCCATTTTCGAAAAAATACTAAATTCGTATTAATTTCAGATAACTTTAATTGTACCAGATTGTTTAAAAATCCCACCAAAGCTAGTTCAGTCTCTCATTGATGATTGTGAATATTATAAAATTACTGGTGTAAACCTTTCTCATTTACTTGATCCCCAATTTTTTGACAACTTTATCAGGCAAGGTAGTTAAATTAGCTAACATTTATGTGATTTATATTTTATTGTATTGAAAGTGGAAATATAAATGTATTTTAGGAAAATTAACAGCCCTAAGCATTGGTACTAGAATTGATTGTGATAATTGTTTTGCAATTACACCAACAGGAACCTTAATTTTAATATTGAATAAAGATACATATCAAAGTCTAGGACTCGAAGGAAGTGCTTCATATTTTTCACAAAAAAATAAAGATAGATATAGTAAGTATATCTCTTCTGCAGGTTTAGTAAATAGTAAATTTTCTGTTACAATGGTTTAAGATTACAGTTAATTCTTAAGAGTGCTAATTTTCTTATAATATAAATGCAGATTTATGTTATATATATATATATATATGATGTTTATTGGCTGTTTTTAAAAACAATTTAAAGAATTTACTATGAAAAATTGTTTTAGAAAATGCCAAAATTTAAAGATGTTCCAACTTTGACAACTCTTGCTCTGAAAAGTATTGGTTGCCTGGTTGTTGAAATGAAACCAATAATTATTTCAAGAGTAAAAATGCAGATGGATCAACCAAAAATAATTAAAAATCTGCAAAAAAGTATTGATATTCTTAATGATATTTTGGTCTCGTATGTTCCTTATCATATGTATGAAATAATGGCTGTGGAAGTGTTAAAAGCTGTCAAAACTTTAATAGACAAAACTAAGAAATTTTATTATCCTCATATTTCAATGTCTCATTTTTTAATGGAAATGAATGTTGCAGTTAGTCTTACAGAAGTTGTTCTTAATTCTCGACTTAGAAGTATAGATTTTTCAGAATGGCCGAAGATTATGAGGTGTGTTTTATATAAAAATTTAGAGAAAATGACTGGATTGGAAAATCTCAATTTAGGATCTTGCACTGGTGGTTGGAAAAATACAGAATTTGACAAAAATATTTTGGACGGAATTAGAAATATGAAAAACTTGCGACATATTTGTTTATGTTTTGATTGCAGTGATTTAATTATTCAGACACTATCTGAGAATTGCCCCAATCTCCAGTCTATTGATGTAACTTCTTCACGTTCTGTAACTGATCGAAGTATACCATATTTACTGAATTGTAAGAACTTGAAAGTTCTTCAGCTACATGGAACATCAATATTATATCCCGGTCTTGTAACATTAATATCAGGTTTACCTAAGCTACAGGATATTGGACGATGTGATAAATTTGGACACATCGTAAAATATATTCGTCAAAATCTGCCATATGTTAAATCTTTTGGACTTAAAAAAATTCAGACTAGAGATTTATGTACTGAGCATTTGAACATCATTGTTGCAATGTTTCCAAAGCTTGAATATGTCTCGATTTTTCATGATATGCAAGTAGCTGATTTGACAATTCTGGTTTCTCTAGATTGTTTAAGAGAACTTAAACTACTGTCATTTGCTTTTTACAGTCATTATTTAAAGCAATTGATTGAAATAAGAGGCTCAAATTTAACTACTCTTCATTTAGAACATGCTGAAGAGATGGATTTTAATGCTCTGCTTCATATAGGCCAATATTGCCCGCATCTAAAAAATCTGGTTCTTTATAACTGTGACTTCACTTATAACATGAACTTACCTACAAATAATTTACAGTCTGGATCATACTTCCGACAGTTGGAGCATATTTTCTGGGTGGTCGATTGTGCAATTAACCCACTAGACTTTGTTTTAACCCACGCAGTTAATATAAAATATGTGCATTTGGGATCATCAACTGGAATAACACATGCAAGCATTGTCAATATATTAAGATCTAACCCTATGAAATACTTAGAAGAATTAAGAGTTCTATATAGTAGTGATATGAGCATGAGAACCGTTGAATTACTCTTAGCAAGTTGTCCTAACTTAAAGGTTTTGTCAGAATTAGAGAGTTGGCAAGGGATTACAATGGAGGAATTAAAAGTTTTTAAAAATCATATTAGTAATAGCAACTTTAATTTGGATATTCGCCCTACATTATCTTTTTCAAGTTAATCTTTATTTTGTCAGAGTTGCAAATAAAAAGTAATTAAACATGTGATCATATTTATGCCATTTTATTTATTACGTACATTAAGGACTAATGAACTAAAATAAGTATCTCTTAACACACGGATACCTAAATAGATTCCCTCCTCTACCATAATAATAATAATATAGTAACCACTGCTGAAGAGTCCGGGTTCGATTCCAGCCTGTTTGGTTTTATTTATTTAAAATATAAATATTTATTTGTCTAAATAGAGCAACCATCAATTTGCCACCACAAGAAAGGTAATGACCAACCACGTCTAGTATACCATACTGGCAAGCGAGACCCTGGGTTGGCGTTTACGTGTGTAGGAGTGAATCGCTATGGCGATTTCGTATCAGCCTTGTATATGAATTTTTAAAGTAGCTCAACCTAAGACGTTTATGCATGTAAAGCACCAGATGGCGGGGCGTATTTCACAGTCTTTTGCTACAGAAAAATATTTTTTGTTTCTCTGATTTTTAAAGGACCAATAAAAAAAGAGAAAATAAAAATTGATAATTTTCGGACTGTGCCAATTGGTTACTAATCGACCAGATACTTTTTGTCTATTAGATATACTATAAAAGCTGGTAATTATACAATTCGACCATTGTAAATACCCGACAAATTCCGGAAGGCCGACGAGGCCGATGTCTTGTACTGATAAGAAAAAAAAAGGTTTGTTTAGATAATTTTCGAGATATTTTTTCTTTCTGAATGCACATTTTTAAAGTATTTTATATTCTTTGTCCGCTTGATCTTTTATACAGGTCGCACGTATCGAAGTTCTGTTTCTTCTAGCTTTAAAAAATGTTTTTATTTCTTTGTTGTAGTGGTTGTAGTGTATTTTTTTTTATTACGTTTAATTATAACGTTTAGTGTAGAATACCAGAAATACTTACTTAGTAGTAGTGTTTTTATAGTTCATTTTGCAGTTAAGTAGTAGGTGAAGGGATAATTTGGATATTTTTTCTTTTTGTTTGATTAATTAGTAAGTTTGATAATTTTTTCAGTGTAGAATACAAGAAGTAGCTGTGTAGTGTTTTTATAAGAGATTATATTCGTTAATATTGTAGATGAGTAGTAGGTGAAGGTATTTGGGTATTTTTTCTTTTTGTTTTTCTTCTAATTGTAATAATTCTATTAAGTATTGTGATAGATACACTATATCTTCCTTCAACTTCGGTGAAAAGTGCGTTATCATATAATTTTGACTTTCTGGTAGTAGAATATACGAAAAAAAATCTGATAAAATTTATTTTAAATTAAATTAATGGAGGATTAATCAAATTAATCTAGTCAAATAATAATAATAGTTAGTTTCTAAATACTATACAGGGTGAGTTTCCTACGATGTTCTCTATGGGTATCTCGGAAACTACTGGAGTTAGAGAGTCGGTTAAATAGGCAAAGAATTGCAGTTTTGTGGGGTCATAAATATGCGCCTTTCATATTTTTGAAATAGGTCATAGAATCACCAGGTATACGTTGCTAGTAACGTTAAACAATTAAAATATTATTATATACAGGGTGAGTTTCCTACGATGTTCTCTATGGGTATCTCGGAAACTACTGGAGATAGAGAGTCGGTTAAATGGGGAAAGCATTGCAGTTTTGTGGGGTCATAAATATGCGCCTTTCGAATTTTTCGGAGAAGTTCAAGGCTTATTAGATACTTCGAAAAAAACAAATTTTGGCTATTTTAAAACTTGTCTCTAATTCCATTATAATCTACCGTATGATCAAATAAACACGGCGTCAACGATGGCTATGAAATGAAGATCGATGTCATTTTATACGTAAAATCATATGGAAAATAGCATCGATCGTAATTTCATAGCCATCGCTGATGCCGTTTTTATTCGATCATACGGTATTTTAGACAAAAAGTTTTCAGATAAAAGTTGTAGATGTTCACATCCCTAATGAGTTTGTGTTTTCTGTTTTTTTCTCTAAAGCCTGTCATTTTTGACATATGACACAAACTTATGTTTTTTTTAATGGAAACCATAGTTGGCCATGACATAACCTTGAGCCATGACTTCATAAAAAGCGCCATTTTTTAAGCTTTTCAGCGATATAGGTATTATATGTTTTTTTCGAAAAATTACAAGTTATAGCCGATTCTTTTCTTTCTTGACTAATTTCCATACCAATAATACCATGCCAATTAGTTGGCATCAAAAATGTAAAAAGTTTTGTTTTCAAAAAAAAAAAAATATCGTAAAATTCGTAAAGCACTCAGTTTAGAATAAAATAATCTAAGAATGAAATGATTCTTTTATAAACCTGCATTAAATCAAATTAAAATATGTATGTAACTTTTTTTAAATTTTAATTAACAGCAATTAGCATTATCATAAATTATAAATAATGTACCAACATATCGAAATAATAATTTATAATTTCTTTGTTAATACGGTTTAGAATTCTTAAAATAACAGGCAAAAATAATCCACAATTTACAATAAAATAAAAGTTTCATTTAAATTTCTTAATCAGCTGATCACTATTAAAGTTCACAGAAACCCGGGCTATATTATTACATTACTCTGAGGAAAATAACGAAAATAATCGCTATTTTTGACTCCGCCCCGAAAAGTTCACGATTTGTCCTCCAGTTGGCAGCACATTTTGTCTGGTCGGTTGAGCAACTTTAAGAATACATAAACTAGGGTATTAGTTTTGTTTTGTTTCTTTAGTATGTCGGAGAGAGCCAAAATATGAAGTATTTGTTACATAACCACTTAAGCCCACTCTAGATCGATTTCATGCGCTTGGGAAAATACTTGCTCTTCTTTATACAGTACATCTTATTTAATTGAGCGCGCATTAACCGTACTCTTCGCACACACGAAAATCGGCACCCAAGGTTAGAAATGCTGAACCTAGTTTATAATGTGCGTATTCAGGGACGGTCAGTGGCTGAGTAAAGCCTTGGTTTCCTACAAAGCCGTAGCGCTAAAGTGCGGCCTTTTTTACCAACGAGTAGTACGGCCACTTTAACGGTGAATATTGTTGTAAAGTAACATTAAAGACGGCGCATTAAAATGCTTCGGCTGTTCGCTTTGAATCAGTTCAAATCATAGAGAAATATAAATTAAATAAATAATGTTACATTTATTTAATACTGTTTATTATACAGGGTTGATCACCACATACGACACGGAGTATTGTAGCTAAACGATTAGATTTTTACAAATTGTAAGTTTTGGGTTAGTTGAAGGACTATTAGAGCTACAATTTAAAAATATGTTTACAAGATACAGAGTGTCCCAAATAAATAAAAAATATCAAAGTAGTATTTTTTAAATGGAACACCCTGTATATTATTTCATTTTTAATTTTTACGATTAAAATAAAGGTAGATTTGATTAAGGTTTATCATACTTAAACCTTGCCGTTTTTGAAATATTTTCAATTTTGTGAAATTGCAGTAAAAATTTTAAGGCTTCATTTCTCCAGGGGTATCAAAGTTTTTAATACTAAATATTTACTGTAGTTTATTTATTGATCAGTTATTGTGTTGCAATAATATAAATGATACTACCTCATACAGAGTGTCTAATTATTTACTTCAAATAATTTCTAGTTTTAAACGGCAATAACTTGTTTAATTTAAATGGAAAACCCTGTATATTTTAGGAGAATCAGATGCACAATTTAATTGTCTATCAAATTGTATTACTCTATTTTTTACCTATCCTTTTTTTTTACCGTTTTCGTAGAAAATGAATTTACTTATAATTTAGACCTCCTTTATACCAATGGAGTATTGACATTTTAGATTGTTTTTTAGCAAAAAATGTACAAAATATACAGGTGCTAAAAATAATAATATTACTAGCCCATTTATATACAAAAAGAAAACTATTTAAATCTTTATAAAAGAGTATACCATTAATTAAATATAGCACCATTATTTCCGCCCAAATATTAATTAATTACATACTTAATTGTGTTAGTTAATCAATTATTCCAAATAAATGTGGATTTGAATCAGTAATAAGTTATAAATATGAACGTCTCTGTTGTTATAAATAAATAAGCATTTGTCAAAAAATGAAATAACATTTTTAAGGTGTTGCTTTTTACCACATTGTCTAATACACATACAAAATTCAGTTTTTTAGTATTTGGAGCAATATTAATCAACGCAAACAGTCAATTATTAATGTTTATTAGTTTGAATACTAGAATCATGTTAATTGGTCTTTTAACAAATATTTAAACAGTTTTTTTTATTTTTTTTAATGAAATAAACGAACTATATCGACAATATTAGTATCTGTACTCTTTAAAAACGTGTTACATCTTTAAAAATAATCTAAAATGTCAATATTCGTATAAGTATAGGTATATTGATAAATGGGGTGTAAATTATAAAAAACCGCATTTTCTACGAAAACTTCAAGAAATAGGTAAAAAATGGTATAATACAATTAGATAGACAATTAAATTGTGCATCTGATTCTCATAAAATATACAGGGTATTCCATTTAAATTAAACAAGTTATTACCGTTAAAAGGTAGCAATTATTTAAAAAGAATTTTTAGACACTCTGTATATGGCAGAATAATTTTTATTATTGAAACACAAACTTTGGTAAATAGAAATACTTCAGGATAATATTTGGTTTTAAAAACTTAAATACGCCAAGAGAAATGAATCATTATAATTATTACTGTATTTTGACAAAAACCTAAGTATTTCAAAGACGGTAAGATTAAAATGCGGTAAACCTGAATCAAATTTACCTTTATTTTAATCGTAGAAACCAAAAATGTAATAATACACAGGGTCTTTCATTTAAAAAAATGCAACTTTGATATTTTTTATTTATTTGGGACACTCTGTATCTTGTAAAAATATTTTTAAATTGTAGCTCTAATAGTCCTTCAACAAACCCAAAACTCACAATTTGCAAAAATCTAATCGTTTAACTACAATACTCCGTGTCGTATGTGGTGAACAACCCTGTATAATATTTATTTTAGTTTCTCTATGGTTCAAATCAAGTATTGTCCACCG